CAGGCGCGGCGCGCGCCCCGCCGCGCCCCTCGCCTCACCCTGACGTCACAGGCGCCAGGGGCGGCCGTTGAGCGCGCGCGAACGGCCGTTAGGAACCGAGCCCCGCCCCGCCGCGTCCCGCCCGTTAGTGCCGCCCGGCGCTGCGGCGCTGCTGGGCGCCGGCGGGGCAGTTTCAGCGCATCTCCCGCGGAAAGGGCGCGCAGGCGCTTCCAGCAGTGCCCGCGGGCTAGGGAAAAGCTCCGTCACGGAGAAGCAGCGCTTGCCGCAGTCTCCTGACTGGGAGCTGGGCAGGCTGCCCACAGATGCCAGTCCGAGCAAGGTCTTCCTACGTTTCTCCCCATGTGAGGCAAAGGCAGCAATAAACCTGCCCTGTACCTAGTACCAAGACCTACTTTTAAATAAGGGATGACAACCAAAGCTTTTCAGGCCTTTTTTTTTGGTTTTTTTTTTTTTGGTCTGAAATTGAGTATTCCAGTTACATTTTAGTCTTCGACTAACTCTGAGGCATAATTATTCCCCTGTGGTTCAGGAAGAAGGAAAAAAAATGAAGTGGGGAGAGATTAAATCTCTTGGGCAAAGCTGCAGAGATAGCAAAGCCAGGAAATGAACTCCGATTTCCTGAGTCAGGCACCGCTGCCTTAACCACAGAGTCATCCTTTCTTTGAGTCATCCTCAGCGTGTAAGCTCTAATGTAAACATCAGCTCCATGAGCACAGATGTGATTTTCCCTGCTCCATTCAACTGAGTGGCTTCTCTGCTACCACTGAAATTCCCTGCAGTTTTCCCCTTCTCCATCTCCTTCCTGAAGCCAGAAGAAACCATACTGCAGACTGACTGCGAGATCCCTACACCTCCCGGGTATAATCCCTGGTAGAGCCACCGTTTCTAACTCCAGCTCATACTTGTGTCATCCGAAAATGATTATGAGACCAAGCTCTAAAAGAAAATAATACACTGCCAACAACAACAAAAACCTTGAGAGATTTTAGGCAGATTCGAGAGGCTGCCTCTATCTGTTTATACACTGAACGAATTGCCACAATGCTTATATAGCCTCATGACTAAGATTGACTGTCTGAGCAAAATCCATAGCTTTTCTTTGAATAATAGCTTCAAAAAGCAAAGCCTTACACACCCAAATGCTAGCTTCTGACTTGGTGACCAGAAAACCAGTCTTAGCAATCCTACTGAATGACTACAGGCCAAGATCTAGCTAAGATTCAGTGTAGCATCTCATCATCAAATGCCTTTAGCATCTGAAACACTCTCAGCTTGAGGACTTTATATTCAATCGATTTTATATTAAATCAATTTAAATGGGCCTAAAAGCTTCTTTCATCACTGACCTAGAACTGTGGCGCCTGCAAAAAGAGCAGCCGCAGCAATGATGACAGCAAATGCCCCGAGCAGAGTGTGAGAGTGGGGTGAGCATGCAGTGGTATTGACGCAAATATTCTTCCCACCACCCTAGCGGGCAGGCCAGGGACTGCCTTTTTCCCTCGATTTCTTTAGGTATAAGCAACCTTAATGCAGGCAGCAGCAGGGAGGCCCAGCTTCGCTAGTAATAGTAGGGCCAGTGTTTTCGGAGCATCCTGCTATAACGCTGCTAGCTTCCATAGTTTCATCTGACTTGCTGGCAGATAATGATGTGAGATATGAGTCAATAACCAGCTATTCAATATTTAATTCACCAATTTCTGTAAATAAGAATATTTCTAGCCAGTTGGTGTATCACAGGCTGGCTTGAAGGGAAGCTCCTGCTCCTTTACATGTAGATTGGTTGCCACTTAATACATTGATGCAGACGAGAAGCGCACGTATTTACCTAAGTCCAGTGGAAAATGAAAGAAGGTTGTTCAAATTTGACCCATGTAATTGTGTTCCCTTCTCTTTGCAAGACCTGAACCTGATGTTTCCCAACCCTGCAGCACAACTAAGCTGAACGTGTTTCAGTCAAAGCCATGCTCAAAGCCAGGGACACCTTCCTCATACCACTTCAGAAGAATCATTCTTGCCGTGATGCCCATAAAAAACAGACTCATTAGGTAGCTAATACACTGGGACCGCTCCTTAATATGCTCCTCATAATTATTTCCTTTTAACCTTGTTTACCCACTTCTTGTTACTGTGTCCAGCTACCTCCTGCTCACCCTGATTCTAGTAAATCTGATGCTTGAACCATATTCATACATTGTCTATACATATTTATGCATTGTTTCCAGGGCAAAAGGGCTAGGCAGCTACGTCCCATAGTTTACTTCCACATATAACGAATAACTTAGGAACATCTGGAATTTTATTTTTACAAAATGTGAACACTCTTGTACGCACACTCACCATCTAAGAAATATTTCTGAAAAGGAAAATAGGCTAGAATTATAGAGCATATTTTTCTTTTGTTATAGATGGATTTTTCATGCAAGCTATGACAAAACATATACATCACGACAGATATGGGTTTAAATTCATTTCAAAGCATCTTGAATCTGTAAAATTTATTCATTGAAAGGTATCAGAGGAACAACTGGCAATTTCGATCATTGTTGCCTTCTGTACTATGCAGCCAATAGATAAGTGCTAACCACATTTCCTTGAAAAGGAAAATATTTTTTCACTAGTTTGAATTCTGTTTGTCCTACCTAAGAAGGCCATTTGCATTGTTTTCCTTATAGAGATGGATACCTATTCTATCTGGAGGTATTCCTCTAGAAACAAAATCCTTTTCTTTATTTGCATCTCTACAGACAGTTCTTTTATTAGTGAATAAATCCTGTATGTTTTTGAAGTCAGGACTGGGCACTAGAAATCTGCTGTCTCTAGAATTACCAATTTCCTTTGCAACCTCTTATACTTTCCTCAGCTATACAAATAACTTTGCTTTTGTAATATGTACTACTGCTAAAAATATGTACCAAAACACCTAATAAAAGTTGATGACCTTCTGAGCTGCTTCTGACACCAGCTACAAGACAAATAATGGGCTAATGTCCCATACAAAAATAATGACATGACTGTGGTAATGCGTGTACTGATTTATCATCTCCATGTGCTGATTTATGATCTCCAAGCACAGTGCCTGCAGGCAGACTACTATGCAATAAATAGCTGCATAAAAATGAAATAACTGATAGGAAATACTGCCTAGTCTTGATAATGGTTTATGACAACCATACCTTCCTTTCTCTGCATGCAGAAAAAGACAGAGATGAGATCAAACTTGGACTGCTGAAATATATGAAAACTTCCCACTTTTAAGACTAAGAGTTACTTGAAAAGGAATCCAGTTTTATAGAAATTAAGTACTTGAGCATCTATGATACTTTTAGACATTACTGGTATTTACCACTTTCTAAATACACACCTAGGATAATGATTACCTGAAGAACTGATCATTACCACTTGTACCCCTACTCTGCTTTCTAAATACCTGGCTCAGGCATCTACTTTGGAAGTTATGTCAATATTAATTTATGTTTTTAGTGAGGAAATGATGAACTAACCTTCTGCTTTCACATCATCTCTTTTTCTGTCTTGTGGGTCAAACTCTTCTCACAGACCTCTGAACTGAAAGCCAGTATTTAAGTATCATTTCAGGGCTGTGACGTTCCAAGCCCGGAACACGTTACTCTGTGACTAGCCCTGCTGACGTGCAGAGCTGCCGAGGAGCCTTGGCATTGTCCCCCTAAGCAGTGGAAAACAACAGTTGCACCAGCCTCACCTATCAGCTACCTGATTTTTCGCATTGTAGTGCAAGTGTAAAACGCTGTAAATGAACAGGGAGGTGTGAAGCCTGGCACGAGTGTCGCGAGCCGGACGTGGCCCTTGCTCACGCCGGCCCTGCGCCGGGAGCTGCAGCTGCCTCATGGGCCCTCTCTGCACCCGCCGCTGCTCCGCGGGGCTCGGCACCCATGGGTGGCAGCCCCCCACCTCCTTGCACAGCCACCCGCTTCAAAGTGCTGCGCTGCTCTGCACACCTGAACAGGCTGCGTGAAACTCCTCTGCAAAACACTGCCCAGCTTTTCCCCGCTTCAGTGCCCTGTTCTTGCAAAACAGAGCCTCCCCTTGCAAACTTGGAAAACCAATTCTATACAGTAATTAAAGATCATATTATATACTTCAAAATCCAAATATGCTTTCTTTTTTGTTAATATGCATCTTCCAGTATCTATTAAAAAAATCATGCATAATGCACTGCATTTAACTGTGACACGGTTTCTTCAGTTTTTAATTATATCTCAATTTGTATTCATACGACTGAATCCGCCAAGGAATACAAATGTCTAACATTCCCATTAAGTGAGTGGGATTTTTAAGAATTCTGAAACATAAATAAAACTGTTATTTCAGCTTGACTTACAGGTATAGAAATTATTTCTCTTTGTGTAATTAAAAAGAATGGTAAGGCAGGCTGGA